GAAATTTCGTGTGCTTTCAGGCTAGCAGCGCAGCTCTTTACCACTAGGCCACCAGACCAAGTATGGAGAGAGGGGTAGAAATGGAAATTGTCTCCTATTGAGTGTTTACTCTGTGCCAGGCCCTCTGCAGGGCACATCCCTACCCCCTTTTTCAAGGAAACAAGCATATATCTTGAGGAGTGTGCAGCTAAAATGTTTCTTGGAGGCAAAGATGCTGAAGGTTCATCTTTCATAGTTTGGGAATGAAGATAGTAGGAGGTATTCATTGGTGAGGGACATCATATTTGGAAAGATGAGGGGAGGTCAGCCAAGGAGAGGAAGACCCCAATACAATGAATTGACATGGTGACTTCAACAATGGGCTTGAGTGTTTCAGAGATGAGATGGCACAGGATAGTGCAGGGTTCAGGCTGGCTGTTCACTGAGACACTATGAGTCATACGTAACTTGATGGTACCTAACAGCAACAACTATTTCATATCATCTTCATTCTAACCCTAGGACGTTATTGTTGTTATGCACCGTTGAGTCAGAACCAACCTATTGCTGACCCTCCAGTGGTTATCAGAGGCTAGAAATCACAAGGCAGGAGAGGGTCCATCTTTCTCCACTTGGCTTCCAGAGGTAGGTTGCTATTATATCCTTTTGGCAGGAGAGTAAACCAAGACACAGGAAGGTAAAGTTACTTTCCTGCCTGCTAGTGTTTATATGAGAGTCCCAAAATCCTTGCCTCTGAGGAGCAGTGTGGTTTCACCCTTTCTAGGAGAGATCGGTCTTTAGAGAAGGACATCATGCTTGGGATGGTGGAGGGACAGTGCAGGAGAGGAAGACCCCAGATGAGATGGATTGAGATAGTAACTGGGGTAATGAGGGTAAGCGTGTCAAAGACAGTAAGATTGGCTCAGGATAGAGCAGGGTTCTGAGCTATTGTGCTTGGGGTTGCTATGAGTCATAGTCGACGCACTGGCACTTAAAAACAATGACAATAAAAATGTTTTAATTAAAGAGAGGGGAAAGAAATGACATGTGAGACGACAAAGAAAGAACAAGGTATATGTAGATAGCTGTGAGAGAAAGTAATCTTGAGAAGAAACCCCTATTCACTCAAGTCAAAAGAACATGGCAAGATGGTGCCGAAGAACCTTGACAACAGGAAAGACTGACTCTAACCCACTCAGACTGTCCTCAGGTCCCTTTAAACTGGCCAGCAGAGTAAAGGAAGCCCTCCTCGAAACTCCCTGAAGGTCAATGAGGACTGGAGGATGCTTTAGGGGAGGTACAGCATTAGTTGGAAATTTTACCTTAAAGATTTGTCCAGTCTGGCAACAGGCCTTGTTAATTCCAAAGTTCTATGTCAGGCCACTGAACTGCAGGCAGCACAGAAAGCCTAGAGCCAGAGGCAAGTAGGGGATCATCTGAGGAACCTTCCCGTAACAGTAAGGTGAGTCCGTTCCCACAGCCTTTGATGGAGGCCAGTGATTAAAATCACAAGAGTCAGGGAAATGATCTGAATAAAAATATCAGGTTAAAAACCAAGGTTGGGAGATCTGAACCTACCTACACTGCTGGTGGAAATGCAAAATGGTAATGGCACACTGGAAAACAGTCTGACAGTCTCACAAACAAACACAAGGTCACTATGCTGTTGGATGCCATTAAGTCAGTTTTAACTCAGAGCGAGCCCATAAGACAGAATAGAACAGCCCCATAGGATTGACAAAGCTATACTTTTTACTGGAGCAGATTACCAGGTCTTTTCTCCTATGGAGCAATTCATGGTTTGCAAGCACCAACTTTTTGGTTAGACTTTAAGTTTTCTACCAGGCCTCCTTGGGGTTCCTAGAAACCCAAACCACTGCCATCAAGTTGATTCTGGCTCATAGCAGCCCTCTACCAGGTTTCCAAAGGCTGCAAATCTCTACAGAAGTAGACTATTTCATCCTTCTCCTGTCTAGCAGTTGGTGGATTTGAACTGCCAACCTTGAGGTTAGCAGCCCAACATTTCACCCATAACCCACTACCTCCATCAGGGCTCCTTATTACCCACTAATTCCACTCTCATGTATATTTCCAAAATGACTGAAAACATATGTCTGCACACAACCTTGCACATAAATATTTAAGGCAGTCAATAGTAAAAAAAAAAATTTTAAAAAAGAGTAAAACCCCCAAATGTTCATCAACTGATGAATGGATAAACAAAATGTGTTATAGCCATGTTGCTGTTGTTATACTATGCCATCGAGTCGGAAATGACCCATAGCTGACCTTTCAGTGGGTTTTTAGAGGTTGTAAATCATGTGGGAGGAGACTGCCCATCTTTCTACCATGGAGCCTATTGTGGTGGATTTGAATCACATGCTGTCAGGTTGGCAGTGCAGCTGCTCACCCCTAGGCCACCAGAAGGGAACTGCATTAAAGCCAAAGAATATTATTTAGACATAAAAAAGAATGAAATGCTGGTACATGTCACAACACAGATGAAGCTTAAAAACATTGCGCTAAGTGAAAGCACCCAGTCACAAAAGCCCATGTAGTATCGGATTCCTTCTATATGTCAAAATAGTGAGTGCTAGAAAGATAGAAAGTAAATTAGAGACTGCTTAACACTGGGAGTGATGAGAGTTTATGGGGCATAATAGTCAAAGTATACCGTTTCTTTTGGGAGTAATGAAAAAAAAATTCCAAAATGCACTGTGACAATGATTGCACACATCTGTGAATATACTAAAACCCACTGACTCATATGCTTTAAATTGGTGGATTATATGGTATGTGAATTACATCTCAATAAAGCTGGGTTTGGCTTGTGGTTGGTTTTTTTATTTTTTTTAAAGATTCAAGTTGGAAGAAGGCGGAAAAAGAAGTAGTTCTAACTCATGATGTCACCAAAATCTACATCAGGCTTTCCTAGTCACTAGGCCCATGTTGCCATGGAGAATTCCTGCCCTATATATCTAAAATATATCTAAAAGGGTTGTTGTGGGTCTCAAATGAGATAATAGATGTGAAGAAGGCACATTGAAAAGCTAAGTGCTCTACACACAAAGAATTACTGTTATTAAGACGATGCCTGTTGAATATAGAAGAGCATGTATATTATGATTGACTGGAAAGACACTACAAAACAAGTTGCAATGCCAGGCAAGTGATATGCAAACATGAAAACAGTTACCACGGTAGTGTGGTGGAATTATGGGTTTTAAAATGTACTGCTACATTATTTGGGGTTTTTTTAAGAACAAGGCCAAGAAAGATGACTGTACTCATTTGAAGTGAAAGGAGAAGTCTGCTATTGGGTGCTCACTTTTAGAAATCTAGTCCTGAAAGCAAATCAGCCAAAGGGTTTCTCTTCTCATGGTTTCTCCCTCTGCCTAGAAATGATCTCCTGAGATGCTATTTCAGAAGATGCTGGATGGGTTCTAACCTTGACAAATGAGGCACTGTATTTTCTGCCTCTGTCAATATGTTTGGAGGAGGGTCCAAGAACAAGAGGGTTGGAACTGAAATCATGATTATCTCAGATGGTCGTCCCTCAGATTCAACCATACATATGCCAATCCCCTAAGATGACCTTAACCATTCACCCAAATGGAAATGAAATACACCATTTAGTTGATCCAGAGAACATTCTGACAGTGGATTTTAGCTCGAATTTAGTTGCTTAAGAAAGCATATCATTCCCAACCAGTCCTTGAGATGTGTTGGCTGTGTGGTTTGGGGTTTTGATTTTAGTTGTATAGAGTTGTTTTTTGTTTGTTTGTTTTTTGAGAGGGCTTAGCAGGTTGCCGAGATTTATTCTTCATTTTGGTTTGTGGGCTAGATTGTTGTTGTTGTTGATGGGTGCCGCCGAGTTGACTATGAATCAATTACAGCCTTGTGAACTGATGTGAACCCTGCCCTGTCCTGTTCCTCCTTCTCATCTCTGACATACTTGAGCCCATTGCTACAGTCACTGTGTTGATCCATCTCGTGAGGATCTTCCTTTTCTGCCTTCATGGGCTCTCTCCTTTCTAAAAGTAAATAAGTAAATAAATAACGAGTACATTTGTGATGTGGCATTGGTATAAAGATACATCTATGTTAGATATTAAAACTCTCTTCAACTGGAAAGCTTATTGTTTTGCTTCTCACTTGAAAAGAAATGACATCTTCCTAGGCATCTACAAGTGTCATAGGTCCAAGGCGTTGTGTCTGCTGCTCTTAATGGAGGAGCTGGCCCTGGGCCAGATGTCTGGAGTAGTATGAAATGAAGTGTGCTGGAACAACCCTGAGGGCTCCCATGCAGAGTCAAGTGGAGATGTCCTTAGAGCGAAGATCAAATGCCCTTACCACAGGTTTGAGGTGCAGAAATGAAATCGCCCATATGAGTCATTTGGCATCTGAACTCCAGGACTGGGCTCTGAGTGGGGGTCATCCTAGCTCCAGGACTTTCTCCAGACCTACAGCTACTCTCCAGCCACTGTAGGAGGGACAGCAAAGTTTAAATGTCTGAGAAAACAAGATTCTCTGTTCACGGTCTGCTCTTCTTGCTGTTGAAGACGAGATCAACCATTGGAACATGGCTCAATAGGCTGTGGCATCCTGCTCCTTTCCCCTGGCCTCCAACACAACATATCAGGTCTGAATTCCCAACCACTTATTCCACTGGCCTTATCTTTATCTTTATGAATATGACTCATGCTTCAAAGTTCTAGCTCCATCCCTGGCCCCAGGCCCCACTGCACAACCTTCCTTTACTTTTTGAATCCACCATAGACCACTCTGGCACTTAGAGTTGGTACAACCTTCCAGCTTAGACTCTGTTCTCTAGATGCCTGCTTATCCGTCAATGCCCATATCTCACTGGTAAGCTCCTTAAGGCTGTGATCCCAGCCTCTCCCTCATCTGGACCATCATAACACTTGACACACTGCTAAACACCCAGCACACATTCCAGGCAACCTTGCTCGATAGCACATTTTTTTTTTCTTCTCAAATCTGGAGCTAAAAATACTCACAATGTGTCTGGCAGCAAAGACCCCGTCGACTATGGCACAACAAAAAGCTGCAATCACACCAAAGCTGATAAAGACGATGGAAGCCACCAGCTGCAGAGGGTGGGAGACAAAAAGAAGATTCTGTTAGCCTTCCATTCTTGCTCCTTCGGGAGACAGGGCAATCCCCCAGAAACTGGCAGCCCAAGAAACCTCTGGCCTGCTACTCTATTGGGGTGTTCTTTCTAGCTAGGCAGAAGGAGTGGGAAGAATGTGGAGGAAAATCTTGTCTATGTGACGCTCCCATTTCAGTCAGAAACAAATGACCTCCAACATCATGGAGTTCAGCCCCTACTTGCATGGAAATGGAGGTATGGGGAAAGGAGGTGGGAAAACCCAGTGACCATCAATGCTTGGAGCCAGTGCTCTGTCCAGTTCCTCATATTGCAACTTGACAGGGGTGTGACCCCCTGATAAAGGCAGGAATGATTCAGAGATCCTGCACAAACTCTATGTGGCCTACTGAATCACTGTGGAGAAAGGACATGATTAAGACTTAAATGTCAAGGACATCTTATATGTGTTGAGTTGCCTGTTGCTCTGTGGTACATATGGAAACACTGAAGTGGGGATGGGGGAGGAAATGCTTGTTTGAACTGATGGCTTAATCCTTTGATCGTGTTGGATCACAAATTGTTCTACCAAGTTATCTTCCATATACAAAGGCATGGCTACAAATCAATGTGGGGAGTGGGTGTAGCAAGTGCTTATATGAGTAGGGCTAGGTTCATCCTGACCATCTTCCAACATTTGCCTGTGCTGGCCATCAAAACAAGATAAGAGTCTGAACTTTCCTTCCTTGAGGCAAGAGGAAGAAGAACTGGGGTTGGTTGGGAGTAGAGATAACATGTCATTAAGCTGCTTTTCCCAGAGAATGAAGAATTCAAAGTCACTCCCATCATAGGACTCTCCCACCTCCACAGGACAGGAGGAAAAGTTTCTCATTGGGGAGTTTATGCAGAAATTTCTTCTGATAAATCTTACTTCATAACACTGCAGAGAACTGGTAAATAATGAATGAACGAGTTCACGAAATTGGCATTATTAGCAATGCTATGATCAGCTCTGCAATTAAAACACCCCCATTAGTTTGAATAATTTAAGCCCAGAGTGCAAACACAATTGGCCCGGGGTGGGGGGCAGTCCAGGTGAAATGGAAGAAGAGGACGATTAGGATTCCCTGGAGGGCGATTCCCCACACTGCTAGGGGAGAACATATGGTTAGAGTTCTAGGTCTCTGGAGCTATTATGTTGTCTGATTAAACTTGTTGTTAAATAGATTCCATTATCAAAGTTGTGATGCCACAGATACTGCTTGTACAAGGGAAGCCTAATCAGTCCTCCATCTGACCACTCACCAAGTGGCTTGATTTACAGATCTATAAAACTGCAAAATGCTTAGGATTTGGACTGTCTTCCCTTGCCCTTCAGGAAGTCTCAGTCTGACCTAGGCATGTATCATAGCAGCTTGCCCCAGTGGGTGGAGTCAGGACCTGAAATCCTGATAAAGGCTCATCTTTCCTTCCAGCCTTACATCACACTGAGCTTCGAACAATGTATGGGTCAGGGGAATACCCTAGGTTGGCTTCAAACCCCCTTAATCCAAGGCCCTTAGGTGGAAATTTCCTAAAGGACAGGAAGGATCTGCAAAAATTTGCCCCCAAAAGATTCTGCACCAGAGAAGAAGATGCAGGATTCATAAATAAACCAGGGTTGGTTGCAGCAATCCCAATGGCAGGGCTGGAGCACTCCTTTTGGGAGTGAGGAGGAAAACAACAAGATCTAGAATGTTCTCTCTTCATGGCTCACGGAGACTAGCCGTGATAGTGAGGGAGCGTCAGGTGAGATGAGAACAAGTGCCATCCCACAAGGCTGCTTAATCGGGTTCAGGTAATTCAGCAAGGAAGTCAGGTTCCCTGGAGGCTTAGGAGAAAAGGCAAAGTAGTTGTGCCATTTGTGGCTCAATTTGGTAGCCCTAAGCCATGTGTTACTTAAGTCATAGAAATATTGAGCTTTTCTGATGCAGAACTTGACTCTCTAGTGATGAGACTTACCATCTGCCGCTTGTTCTCAACAAGGTTTGATCCGATGATGCCAAGGAATGATCCAAAGCCGAGCTGCAAAGCAACAAGGCACACACAACATGTGGGAAAAACCAGTCTTGTCTGTCCACACCAGCATCTCATCATCCCAGCTCCTGGTCTACGGCAGTGCTAAACAACTTAGGGCAGTGATGTTAACGGTGCTCCCTGGCCCCTGGGGTCACTATGACAGAATTGACTTGACACCAATGGGTTTCTTTTTGGGTTTAGAGATGCTAAAGCCCCATATGGCTGTTCAGTGCACAAAACCAGCACGGATGATGAAAATGCTCCCCCTCGCCATTTGCCAATTATTCCTTGTACATATGAATCACCCTGCTCCCAACTAAAAGGAAAGGTAAATTACAGCTTTTTGGAGCCTGCCTATCTTCATTCCGACATCCAATATCTGGCATGTGACTTGGTGAATCACTCAGTGGCATGTAATGGTGAAAAAACATGCACTAAATCACAGCCATTATTTTTTATTTCTTTATTTCTTTTTTTGTAGCAAGTCCTTCCACTATGATGCATGGATTACAAACTAAGGATTGCTAGAACAATTTTTGATGCATCCAGCGTACTGATAAGCCCAGGGAGTACTTTAGAAATCAGCAAGCACTTTAACTCAGATTGGAGAGAATTTTTTAAGACGGGGGTAGGGGAGGGTATGTGAAGGGGAGGACAGAGGAGGAGGAGAAAAAACCAGCAATAACCAAAAGAACGTGTTTTTTTTTTTCAAAGCCTATTTGTGGTTGACCCACTGCAATTTATGTTAGCACTTATTCATCTCTTCTTCCATCTCTGCTTCATTTATGGACAGAAAGCATTCATTAAAGGGCGAACAGAAATGGCAGCGTAAAACCCTGAAAAACAATCTCCCCTGTCTAAGTGGCTGGGTTGATGGCTCAACACAGCAGATGGCCCTGCCTTCTCAGCTCTGTAGTTAGTGGGACAATCTCAGCTGACCGATTGCTGGGGATGAGGATGGAAAGGGGAAGAAGTAAAAAGTGGTGAGAAGAGACAGATAAACCTTAACACAGGTTCAGTGCTGTAGTTACATTTCTCTTTAGCCTCACTAATGGTCTGCAGCCTTACCTCAGCTTACTGGGGCATTTGTTTGAGTTTCAGGCGCCACTATGGTATTACCAGTATGGTAAAGAGAGCCTTCGAGCTAGGTTTGCAAATCTAATGGTCTCAAGGGTGGGGCAGGAGCTTGGAGGGGTGGGGATGAGCGAGTGTCTTCTGATTCTCGAGAATGAAAGAGAGTGACGGGAAGGAATGAACGTGAATTTCCAAGGACTCATTCTGCCGGGCCACTCAGCTAGCAAGCCCTGCTTGAGAAAGTGAAGCCGAGAGGTTATGCATGGTGGGTGCTTGAGGGTATGTGTGGTGCATGAGGGTATGTGTGGTACATGAGGGTATGCGTGGTAGGGGAAAGGACAAAATATCCTGTGTCTTCAAGACTCTACTGAGAACACACCCATCCAACAGTTAAACTAGGCCTAAAATGGAACCCTCTTAAAATGTTGATGAGGGGAACTCTAGTGGCTTGTTGTTGTTGTTGTTGTTGTTGTTGTTGTTGTTATTGTCGAGTCTAGCACAACTCATGCCTACTCTCTGAACAACTGATCTGAACCCTGTCCTATCCTGCCCCATCCTTATCATCCCTGGCACATTTGAGCCCATTGCCACAGACACTGTATTAATCCATCTCGTGGAGGGGGTCTGCCTCCTTTTTGCTGACCCTCCTGCCAATGTTAAGGTATGCAGTTCGAATCCAACAGTTCCTTTGCTGGAGAAAGATGGGCAATCTCCTCTCATGCAGTTTACTGTCCCTGAAGACCCTTTGGAGGGTCAGCTATGGGTCCCTATCTGATTGTACACAGCAATGAAGACAATTCTACTGATGAGGATATCAAATGGTGAGGCCACATTAGAAAAGAGCCTGAGCATCCCACAAACAAATGTGGGAGTTAGAATTTTTAAAAAAATAAACCACAACCAAAAACCTAACAACAACAAAATCAACCCACTGTCGTAGCCAATTTCAATTTATTGCAACCCTCCATTAGGTTTCAGAGGCTGCACATCTTTATGGGGGGAGGCTGCCCATCTTTCTCCCTTCCCAGGGAGAGCCACTGGTGGATTCAAACTGGCACCCTTTCTGTTAGCAGCCCAAAAAGTATCACACTATGCCACCCGTGCTCCTAATAGTTCCCACACAACCTAATCATTTCACTCCTAGGTATATTCTTAAGACAATGAAAGCACATTCCACACTTTTCCCAACTCATTGAAAACATGTGTCTGAAGTATAAGTCCATGTTCCTGTATGTCTCCCATATGGTGATATTTCTAATGTAATTAACGTGTATTGTCATTAAGTATTGTGATTAAAGCCTGTTTATCACACTTGCCTAGGTTCCAACCTTAGCTCTTTCACTGAACGGCTGTGTAACACCAAACAAGTCTACCCACCAGTTTCCTTGTCTGTAAAATGTGGACCACAGTACTGGATACCATATAGGGGGTTTGTGAGGATTGAACAGGATGATATGTTCAAATAGCTTTGATGGCCCCTGACACACAATAAGCACTCAATAAGTACTAGTTCTTAGGTGATTATGGAAGTCTTGCTGCCTAGTGGTAAGGAGCTGCCCTGCCATCCCAAAGGCATATGGTTCGAATTCACCAGACTCTGTGGGAGAGAGATGGGAAATCTTCGCTCATGAGATTTACAGCCTCTGAAAACCTGTTGGAGGGTCAGCTATGAGTTGGTTCTAACTCAAAGACACAAAACAACAACAAAGTCTAGTGATTATTATCACTATCTTGTTAAAGACATTCACCTTGGAAAAACTTGAGCCTGATTTGAGCAGTATAGTCCTGTTATTATTTGCTCTGTTTCTTTTTATTTTTTAAGGTTTAATTTTCTTTTCCTCTTTAATCTACCAACATACCCAGCAGGTGTAAAATACTTTTTAAAAATATTTTTAAAAAATTATTCACTGTTGCACATTTTCCTCCTCTTCCTCCCCCAGTCTACACTGCAATGCACTTCTTGTTCCAGATTGTTCTCATGTATATAATGTATAATTATATATTCCTTTAAACAGTTCTTCCCCTCATCTGTTCTATTGTAGTTTCATTATCTATCTACTCTTTCCTCATTCTCTCCCCCTCCCTATGTCTGTCTTTATAACAGTGGCCCTGTGCAGTATTTGTCCTTTTGTGACTGAGATATTTCACTCAGCATCATGTCCTCCAGGGTCACCCATTTTGAATAATATTGCACGAGTTCCTTGTTTTTCAATGCAATGTAGTATTCCATTGTGTGAATATACCACAGCTTCTCTATCCATTCATTTGTTGATGGGCACTTGGGTTTTTTTCCATCTCTTTGATATTATGAACAACGCAGTAATAAACGTGAGTGTGCATACATCTGTTTGGATGACAGCTTTGATTTCTTTAGGGTATGTTATTGGCATTACTGGCTCAAATTGTGTTTCTATTTCCAACTATTTGAGAAAGCGTTAGACGGCCTTCCATAGTGGTTGTACCACTTTACATTATTTGCTCTGTTTCATAACAAGAGTATGTCTCCGTTCTCTCTTACCCTCTTCTGAGCCCTTGTGGAGATTGAGAGAAATTCAGAGATTACTTCTTACATGGAAAATCAGTTCTTAATTTAACATTTTATCCACAGCTTGTCACTTAGCGACCCCTGTACCCTAAGAAGAGTCTTTGCTTTAAGATGAGAAGTAAAAACATTCACTATTCCTGACAGTGTTCCTAAGTGCTCCTTAAGTCTGACGATCGTCCGGCAGGTTCTCAGAGGTATTTAATCACACAGGAGAAGATTGTCCATCTTTCTCCTGTGGAGCAGCTGGTGGATTCAAACCACATACAAAAGTGAGTACAGAAGGAAAAAGTGAGCTGAAACTTCATGGAATTGACTGGATAGACAAGGCACTCCCGGACTGGAAATCCCAGGCCAAATAGTTCTCTTCTCTTCCATCCTATTCCACTCTATACCATTCATTCTTCTAACATTCTATGTACACAGTATTGCCATGATTCCCAGTCAACTTGATGGCAACTACTAATAACCAGAACAAAGAGCTCTGGTGGCTTAGTGGCCATTGGAAGCTGTGCTGCCAACCTGAAGGCATGTTGTTAGAATCCACCAGCTATTCCGAGAGAAAGATGTGCAATCTCTTCTGGAACAATTCGCTGTCTCTGAAAACTCACTGGAGTGTTAGTTATGAATTGGTTCTGAGTCTACAGTACGTAGCAACAACAATATAGTGTTTCTATAGTTGCAATTTTTAAGGAAAGGGAGCTCTGGTAGATAAGGACCTTTGCTGACACTCTAAAGGCAGGCAGTTCGAATCCACCAGCTACTTCATGAGATTTACAATCTCTGAAAACCCAGTGGAGGGTATACTTTGAGTCAATTCTGATTTAACAGCACATAACAACAACCACTGAATTAGAGGAAGACTCATCAACAACCTGTGTCATGCAGATGACACAACCCTGCTTGCTGAAATTGAGGAGGACCTGAACTGTTTGCTGCAGAAGGTTAAGGACTGCAGTCTTCAATATGGATTGACGCTCAACATCAGGAAAAGAAAGATTTTCACCATTGGGCCAAGAGGCAGCATCATGATAGATGGAGAAGAGATTGAAATTGTTAACAAGTCCAGCTTGCTAAGTTCCACATTCAGCACTCTTAGCACCAGCAGTCAAGAAATCAAAAGATGAATTGCATTAGGAAAATCTCAGAGTGCTGAAGAGCAATCATGTCAGTCTAGAGACTGAGATACACCTGATTCCGGCTGTAGTCTCCTCAATTACTTGCTATGTATCAGAGAGCTGGACAGTGACAAAAGATAACAGACGAGTTAATTGATGCCTTTGAGTTGTGATGCTGGAGAAGAATACTGAACATACTATGGATTGCCAAGAGAACAGACAGATTTGTACTGGAGAGGGTGAAACCAAGTTGCTCATTGGAAATGAGGAAT